CCACCGCCTCCAGGGGCTGGAGAGAGAGAGACAGAGAAGAGAGAAGAGAGGAGGGAAGAGAGAGAAGAGAGAAGGAGGGATGAAGAGAACTTAAGCCTGGGTCAGTGACTAGAGGGGTGGAAGCAACACCTTTTCCACAGCCAGTGAGCCCTCCATCCCCGCCATGGAATACAGACTCCCAGGGACTACCACTCTTGAGTTGTCTTGCCTCCCCACTTCCTAATGTCTGGTCCATATAGGGATACCTGTTACTTTCGTCCTTCTTCATAAGACACTCTCATGGAGGGGAACATACCTGGGATGAGACTGAGACCCCTGACCCAGCTTGAGCTTTTCTGGGGCATCCTCTTGCCAGAAAGGGAGTCTCCATCCCTCTCCGATGCCCCTAACCTCCTTCCAGACACACACACACCCCATGCCCATACTCAGCCTCCTCAACATTAAGACGCAACAGGAATTCCCGTTTCCCAGCCACTTGGGACTATCGCTCAAATGGAGTGGGTCAAAATCTTATACATAGTCTTTCTTAGACCATGCCCCAGGTGCCAGGTCCACCCACCCCAATCATCCACAAAGTGCACTCTTAATGTTTTCTGGTTTTGTTTTTGTTAAGGCTTCAATCTAATTGTGTTTGCTTAGCTTTATGAAAAAAATACAAGGCAGGAAATACATCATGTTCGACACATTCCTCTCATCAGAAGGCTGAGCAGTTACCCTAGTATACCACATCCTTTGCTTCTCTCATCCACACTGGTTGGGTATGGCGGCTGAAGATGAGCATCGAGGTACTGTGTGGCTTCCCTTTACCCAGAGAAACTTCAGCCTCAGTTTTCCACCAAGACTTACATGCCAATTCTCTGCTGCATCTTTAAGGTACAAGCTCACAGATCTTTTAAGTCTCATTAAAAGAAGATGGAACGAAATGCATGAAATTCCACACCAAATCTCCCCAAATACTGAGTACCCTAAGGTCCATTTTTTTAGTTAGAAGAACTTTATAAGAGGCAGAGAGATTCCCATCTGATTTTTTTAAAAGTCCCTGGAAAGGACACAGTTCCACTAAAAACAGGTCAAGATATTTTTACATAATTAAAATTAACACCCTCGAGGAGTCAAAATCTTTCATCTACATGCTTATCCCTCTCCTACATCCTACATCTCCATCTTCCTTTACGCTTTCTATCCACCTGCACCCACTCTTCCTCTCCTACATTCCATCTTCCTCCTCCACTCTCCACCCCTCTAACACCTCCATCCCCCTCAGCCTCATCCCCTTCTACACTTCCCCCAACAGCCATCATCCTCATTGCTTTTCATCCCTCTTATATTTTCCATCTTTCCATCCTCATACTCCTTACATTCCCATATTCTCTTTTCCAACACGGATTTAAAAAATCTGTATTCTATATATCTCTCCTTTCATTATTTTGATATAATTGTTCAGAAGCTCTTCCTCCCTCCCTCCTTCCTCCCTCCCTCCTTCCTTCCTTCTTCCTCCCTCCCTCCTTCCTTCTTTTTGCTTTGCCATTTCAACCTAGATCTTTCAAACTGGACAATAAAGTCTGGAAAACACTTTATCTTCCTGCTTCTCTAATACTGATTGCTGTCTTCATTCTGACTGCAGAAGTCCTTTTTCCATGTAGGGCAACTCTCTTCCCAGGCTTATGGCTTTCTCCTCTGGGGAATTCATTCATCCTTTACGGGCTTGTGTACTTGTTTCTGGGAGGCTTAGTGGACTCTAAGACATTTCACAGCCCACTGACTCTCCACGGTTTACCATTTTTGATCTGTGGATTCTCAGCTCCTACTGAATTTCCCATGTCCATTCATTGGGTTGGTGGCCTCATTCTTAGGGACATCCAGTGCAGAAACCATTCTAATGACTCCTCTTTCTGCTCCCACCTGTCCTGCTCCCAGAACCACACCATTTCTCACCCTTACCTGAGGAGGGAAGCTCCGACTTACAGGATTTGCATGTCGGGCTGTGGAAGCAAAGACGAGAGAGAAAAGCATAAAGAGGCTCAATAGCCACAGGCTTTACGGGAAACACATGGCAGGCCAGGGGCCCTTCTGTTGCAGAAGCACCCCCAGGTCCCAGGCTGCTCCCTCCCACTCCCCTCTTTCCCCCACTGCTGCCAGACCTCTCAGACCTGGAGTCCGCCTTCCTGCACTTCACCTTCTTGCCTGTTAGGAGAGAGAGAGAACAAGGAGGCAGGACATAAGGCTCTGCTCCGGTCAAAAGCCAGCAGGGGAACTGTAGGTACCTGGGGACCCCCAGGAGGCCCTCTTTGAGGGGTTGTGGAGCCCAGGAAAGAGTTATACTTACTGATGATGATGAGGATACCCAGCAGGAACAATATGGTAGCCAGAGTCATGCCCACAGTCTGCACAGTGTCATAGTCTGGGGAAGATAATAGGGGACATCAAGGTGGTGGTGGCATCTCAGCCCCAGCCCCCAGCCTGGCTTCAGATTACCCACTCAGGGGCCCAGAATTCAGGAACACCGCAGGCCATGCTGGAGGCTTCCCCAGCGGGTTAGTGTGAGGACTGAGAGCATGCCTCCCCTTGTCCTCTCTCCCCCATTACCCTCCTTTGACATCGTTGTAGCCTCCTTTTCCCTGGTCCCGTCCACCATTGTCACCCATTTGGACTATTGCAGCAAGCAACCTTCTCCTCGGTATCCCCACCCCCAGCCACAGGGATCCTGTTAACACATGAGTCAGATCAGAGTCCTCCTCAGCTCAGAGACCCCTCCTCACTCTCCATTTTCATTGCACTCCAAGTAAAAGCCAAAGTCCTCACCACGGCCCACAAGGCCCTGCATGATCGAGTCCCTGTTTTTTCTCAGACTTTATCTAACTCTACTTTTTCTCAATTTCCTAATTCTCAGGGCACTGGTCGCCCTGCTATTCCCGGAGCATATCAGGCATGGTCCTGCCTCAGGGCCTTTGTACTTACTCTTCCTTCTAAATGAAAGCTCTTCCCTCCCTTGTCGACTTTGGGGCTTTACTCAAACGTCAGTAAAACTTTCTCCGGTTCTCCTGTTTAGAATTTTCCATCCTCTCCTCAATGCTTTCCAATCTCATTCTTTATTTTCCTTCATAAGAATTATTCTTGTCTAATATACCACAGTAAACATTTGTTGAAATATTAATTTATGGAGCATCCACTCTGCACCAGCGGTGGTCCAGGCCTCTGCCCTCAGGGAGTTGACTTTCATATTGTGATCAAGCATTAAACAAAATAAAACAAAAACTGAGTCATGTGACCATGCATAGATGTGGTGTGGCTCCTCTTGCCTGGAAGTCTGGAAGGGCATCTCCTAAAAGAGCAGTCAATATTTGATCTGAGGCCTGAAGAAGGAAAAGGAGCATTAACCAGCTGGGTGGAGAGCTAGAGGAAGAGTATTCTTAGCAGAGAGAACAGTAAGTGCAAAGGCCCTGAGGTGGGAAAGCACTTGGCATATTAGAGGAAGAGTATGAGTGAGCAGAGGCAGAGGACGGGAGGGTGTTTAGAGAGGGAACTGGGCCAGGTCTGCTAGACCTGGGGATATGATTTAATAGCATCAGCCAAGTGAATTTTTCCCATAATCTTTATGGGTAGGAGCTATTACTATGCTTTATTTACAGAAGGGCTCAGAGAGGCAAAGTTGCTTCCTCAAAATCAAATAGCTAGTGAGTGGATAAGCCAGGATTCAAATCCAGGCAGCCTGACCTCAGAGTTGTTTGCTTCTCTGGTGACCCCAATACACCAGCCAAGAGTCCTGATGAAGCCTGAAGGGGGTCCAGAGAGCATACCTCCCCCACACCCAATCTGATGCTGTCCTCCATGAGCCCAGCTGGTGTGAACTGTATCTCTATGAACACATGACCAGTGGCCCAGCACGTATCAGCCACAGCTGAAGCCACTTCAGCAGTGACCCATGGGGATCTGCAGCCACCCCTTCATCCAGCCCCAGAGAGCCCTCATCACAGAATCTGCCACTCACCATAGTAAAATGGGTCAGGTTCCTGAGGAACTGTGGGAAGGAAGGCAGAGAAAGAGAAGGAAAACATATTTCAACCCTGGTTTTCTTAATATTTTTGAGGATCCAGATGGAGCCACTGGCCCAGTGATTTTTGTGTAGAAATCAGATAAAGTGACCCCTTGCTCTGGGTGGTATAGCTTCATGGCAGGACACAAGGCTTGAAGAGTGAAGCATAGGATGGATTCCAGCCCCTACTTACTCCATTAGTTGGTACCTTCCCTTTTTCAGTGCACAACCTACCCAACCATACATGGCAATCCTGGTCCTAGTGCCCTGTGGTGGTCTTTTGCAAGCTATGGATTTATTTCCTGAAAACACATACATACTTTCATTTGCATATAGCGCTAGGGGTAAACAGATTCCAATCCCACTGGTGGACTGCTGAGTGTATCAGCTTCCCTCAAAACCTCTTGGTCATCTGAGAGCTCCAAAAGGGAGGCTCTATAGCTACCTCTTATCTGCTCACTTCTGCCACCAAATCCAGCACAGGAAAGCTGTCCTATACTATACCCTATATTATGCTATATATAATGTATCCTATATTACTTATTTCTAAGACACCACTGATTTTAAGATTCATAATTGGTTTTGTATTAGCTTTCCCACTGTGTGTATTATGTATAAATATGTATGTAACTGTACCACATGAAACATACCCATCTATTAGAAGACTCACTCTGATTTCATAAATGTTAATGTGTGGATAAAATGTGTGTGTGTGTGTGTGCGCGTGTGTTTATTTTTCCCCATCTCTTATCTCCCTGTCTCAAACCATATTCCCCTTCAGGAGAGCTCAGATCAAACTTCTCATTCAAGAACCCATCCTGATGGCTCCTGAATTCCTCAGACAGCTCTGAGCACACTCTGCCTTGTCTAGAGCAGAATTCTAGGACACCATGAGGGGACAGGTACCAGGAGTGCCAGGATGATGCCAGGTGTTGTCATTAGTGTTCTTCCACTTCCAGGCTCAGGGAAGGTTGGCTGCCTTGAGGTAAGGACAGAAGGGGCACGTGACTAATTCTGACCAATGAACTGTGAGTGGAAATGTCATTGTCACTTCTGCTGGAGACTTTAAGTGCTCATACAAGAGCTCCCTTTTGAGTTTGGCCTGGTGACATGAATGTTCAAAATGGTAGCTGTTCTAGTTTTCTTTAGTGAATAGAGATCCCCAGTTGACTTGTGATAAATGAATAATATAAGTGAGAAATAAACCTTGGTTGTCAGAAGCCACTGAGATTTTTGGTACTGTTTGTTACCCCAGCATGCTCTAGCCTAAACTGTCTGGTACAGGTAGCACTTAGGCAAGACCATGAACAGCCCTGATTCACACAATGTGTAAGTCCACCTTTCTTTCTTCTCTGTCCAGTCTTCAAAGAGAAAGTCTTAAGTAGGTGCTGATGTGTCTTTAACACCCTCCAACTCTTGTTAATCTCCTTCTTTTTCCCAAGAGAACACAGGCGCAGGGCTCAGAGCCTTCATCAGGTAGAATTTTGTCATGTTATTTGGTTTTCTACTTTAGTTATTATCTAACCAGTACTCGATAGCACCGACTCCATGCCAGGCTCTCTTCTAAGCACTTTGCAGATATTAACACATTTAATCTTCACAGTGGCTCTCTGATATAGGTGCTATTTTCATCTTTATTCCACAAACGAGGGACACTGAGGCCCAGAAAAGTGAAGTCACTTGTTTAAGACCATTTTTATACTTGCCTTCAATTTAAGGCAAAAAAATCCTGATTTTCCATTTATAGTGGTGATATAAAATAAAGCTGATTAAGTTTTCTAAAAGTTAATCCTTTGAAGGGAAAATGTTAAATAAATAGCAGGAAACATTTAGGTAGGGCAAAGATCATGCAGGTGGGACTCAAAAGCATCAAGATGGGGAAACATTATTTTAGAGACATCTGTGCTCTGTATTAGCTTCCCCACCAGATGGGGAGTAAATTTGCTTGACTCATCTCTGCTGTTAATTCCGGCATTTATGAAAGTCTCTCAAAGAAAGTTTCAAGGAAGGAAGGGAGGAAAGAAGGGAGGAAGGAAGGGAGAGAGGGAGGGAGGGAAGAAAGAAGAGACAAGGAGGAAGGAAGAGGGAGGGAGGGAGGAAAGAAAAAAGAAAAGGAAAGATGGAAGGAAGGAAAGAAGAAAGGAAGGAAGGGAGCCCCTGTTAGGCTGTAGGAGACTGCATCAGAGGTGGTGCAGTTGGATTATCCAGCTTTTGTCTCGTGTATTTTCACACAGCCTCACTACCCAAACCATCGGGAGCCCACTGGGTGTAAGCCTGTCCCAGAATCCTCTTTGGTTCCTCCCTGGGTGCTTCCAGCTCCAGGCAGAAGTTCCTCTTCTGGTCCTTGATGACCCAGCAATCTGGGTCCTCAGGGCAAGGCTGGGCTAAGGGTGGAGCCAGGAGTCAGGAGAAGGAATGTGCACCACTCTAGGCCAGTTGTCAGAAAGACATCAAGAAGGAGGTGGGTGTTATGGCAACCAGGGCATCTTGAGAGGTGAAGAGAGGTGATGGGTCCGGGCACCCCAGGCTGGGTGGGGTCCTGTGGGAGGCTTGGAGGTTGGGCTTCTGAATCCACCGCCAATCTTGACTCCCTCTGCTTCTTTTGTACCTACCATTGTTGCCCCTGCAGGACTGGCTTCTGGCCAAGCCGAGGGTCCTTCTCAGGAATAGGGACCCAGGTCCAGTGGGGCTCCTGCATACCTTGTTCGCTCCCCTCCCCCAATTCTCCCTCCAGCTCTGTGATAGAATGGGCAGAGACTTCACCTTCCTCCCCCTCTCTCCCAACAATCCATTAATTAGTTTCATTAAGCAATTTGCAAGGCACAATGTGCTTTTCCTCCCTCGGGATTTTCCAAGACCTCCATCCCCTCTCATGTTGTGACTGGGGAAAAGGTGGGGCGGTGGGGAGGTTCTGAGGCATCTGTCCTCCCCCTGCTGCCAGCCTGCTGCCATCGATCCTGCTAACCATCTCTGTGAAAAGAAGCGCTGGGCTCCCGCCAGGCCTGCTGGCTCAGCCCTGCCCCCTCTCCCTAAGGTGGCTTCCAGCCTCTGCAGCACCCCCCACCCCTGCCGCCCTGCTTCGAATTCTGCAGATATGGCTCAGTGCAGCAGCCCCCGCCAGCTGGGAAAGGGGGCAGGGAAGGGGAGATTAGAGTGGAGTGGGGTTTCCTTCACCACCAGGGGCTCCTCAGCTCTGCTAGCCTATCGCCCCAGCCCTGCTCTCTGGTGCTAGAAACCCTTCCCCTGCCCCTCGCACCCAATTAAAGCATTCTGCCCTGCGCTCCTTTCCAGGAGCAGGCTCAGAAAAGGGGGCTTTTAGGGGAGAGAGAGTGTTTAAGTGGGTGCATAACTAGGTTAATGGGTGTGAAATGTAAATCACTGTGGCTGGATCGGGGTAGGGAGGGGCATCTGTGTGCACCCAAGTGCACCTCCCGGACCTGACAACACCCCTGAATTAGGGCTGGAGAGGAGGGTCCCGCCACCCATTCCTGCCCATGGGGGCTCACTGCAGTGGTTCAGGCTCCACCCTGTGCTGCCCCTCCTCCTATCGCTCAGTCCATCTCTGGCACTTGGGTCAGTCTTTCTCTGTCCCTGTGTGTCTTTCTCTATGCCTTCCTCTCAACAGTTGCCTCAGTCCCTCTCTGTCTCTGTCTCTGTCTCTGGTTTTCTCTCTTTTTCTGCATCTCTGTTGCTCTCTGCCTCTCCTCTTCACTCTCCCTGCATCTCTCTGAATCTCACATCTCTCTTTTCTTTAGGTCTCTCTTTGTGTCTCTGACTCTGGGTCTCCTGTCTCTCTCGGTCTCTCTCTGCCGCTTTCAGGCTCTCTCAGTCAGTCTCTTTCCATATTCCTTTCCTCTCTCTCTCTGTCTTTCTCCACCTCTCTCTCACTTCCTCCAGCGCTCCCTCTCCCTGTCTTTCCCTTTTTCTCCCCCTTCCCACTGAACCTACCTGTCAGGGATATCAGAAAACACCCACCATAGGAGCTAACGCTGGAAAAAAGAAGAATACGGACCCCCTACCCTTACCCACCTCAGGGACCTTGAAATCGGTAAGAACCTCTGCGGCTGCAGACCCACCCGCTTCTACCCTCGAAGCCCATCTCTTCGCGGCCACAACCACCGCTGTGCAGGACCAGCCACCCGGTTGCCATAGCTACCGGTGCGAGCATCCTTTCTCTCGGGACTGCCGCTCTCCAACCGCCGGTCCGGCACAGGAACGACACCACCGGGAGAGAGTGTCCAAGAGGCCCGGAGGGGCTCCAAGGGGTGCGCTCCAGGGGCCTCCGCCTATGCGAGGAACCGACGTCCCCTTCCCCGCTCCCGTCCCTTTCCAGTACTGGAATCTCCCCAGATCCTCTCTCCGAAGCTCTAAGATCCCAGGCCCCCCTTTCCCCAGGCGACGCTCACCCTTTGTGGGGGCCTGGGTCGGGGTCGCCATGCCGGGCCGGAGCAGGGGGTGGCTGGATGCTGAGGCTGTGAAGGCGCGGCTGCAGCAGCTGGAAGCGGGACGGACTGATGTCGGGGGGAGATGGGGGGAGCCCTGGTGTTGGGGGTGCCGTAGCCAATGGGGGCCCGGA